ACCCTCACACTCCCCTGAACCTTACTGTGGAGGAGGCAACCAGGTCAACTTCCTGTCCCTCGGAACCGGGTTCAAAGGCAAAAATGAGACACCAAGACCACTTCACGCATCCCTGACCATGACTTGACATAACCCTGGACGTGAAATACTCACATAAGAGGCATTCTAGCACAACATCTCTCTTGGAGTGTATGGTGCTATTTTCATATTAGTGTAACTCTAATTGTTAACTTTAACCCTTGAGAGAGATAGGTCTTTTTGAGAGTAGTCGTATCCCCACTGTACTCAGGGGAAAGTGAAGAAGGACCAAAGAGAGCAGATTTGATAGAAGCAAGAACTGCAGTTGAAAATCAGTGGCCCTTCTGGTTTTCTCCGGTGCTAAATCACGTTTTCTTCATTTTTATTTGGCCAATAAGGTAAGGCCCCACAGGAAGAGGGGGGAGTTACTATTTCATAATGGGTTAAAAACCCATTATCCCAAGTCAAGCTTGCAGGCAGGCTTATTGCCTGCCTTTTTCCAGGTCAGAATGCCCCAAAATATTTCCTTATGCTATCAACTGTAGCCAAGTCAAGTCTTCAATATTAGAGACACTTTGAATATTTGCAGACAGAGCAAGGTCCACAGAGGCTCAGTTAGCTGTATTTGCATGGAAACAATAGTATTAGTACATAGACAGTTCTTGTATTTGACTTTTAGAACCCAAGGAGAACAGACTTGGAATTGTTTTTCTGGCTACCTTTAGGTCTGTTCACCTCCACCGCTGGAAAGGTTTCTCCAGCTCTGGCCTTGTGCTTCTCATTTCTATCCATGGACTCAGTTTCAGTTCTAAGAATAATCAGCTAGTTTCATGTTTCATTGCAGCCCATAAGGAGATAGAAGATGCTTTCTCATCAAAGCAGCCCTTTTCACCCTCTCCTCTCAGGTTCATCCTGAGACCCTGCCACACCAATTCAGTTTCTCCATCTTTTAACCCAGCTTTCTCCCTGAACCACTCCAGAGATCAGAAGAGTCTACAGCCCCAGTGGTCCCTTTCATCTCCCCGTGACCCCGTCCCCAGCCCCTACTCAGCCATGGAGTGGGTTAGCAAGGCCCGGCTTCTCGCCAGCCAGCCCTGCATTCCTGAGAAGAGCTGAGTGAGCCTGGGCATGCCTGCAGAGAGAGAGTTTTCTCTTGTACATGCTCAGCGCGGTATTTTTTGATTCATGAATATTAAAGGACTTAAGATCACAAGGCCTTACCTCCTCCATCTTGCACCCTTTGGAAACATAATAGCTCTTTTATTTCATGGCACTTGACTTTGTTTATTCAGCACGATCAGGGCAGCATTCAGGCTATAGCAAGCCTGTTAAATATTTACCCATGAGGCGGATATTTATACATGAATCAGCAGCACTTATCAGCGTGCAGTGCTGGAAGTCAGGTTCAGAACTCTCACAGGCTGAAAAACTACTGAGTTAAATAAAGAGTGCGGCAAGTGTCCGTTAAGAAATCAGCTCTCATTTAAAGCTATCCTTTGTAGTATCTGAAGTGCTTCACACATTGAGGCTTCCTTCCCCTGCACAGCTAAGTCATTCACAATTGAACATGACAGTGGTTGGTCTATCACATCCGAGATGCAGTGAATCTGGTTGTTTGACCATCTGGGTGTGAAGACAGTCAGGAGGAATGCTTGCCCTGCTGCCGTGTGGAAGTTGTAAAGGGAGATGAGCTGTGTAGCACTGTGCTTCCGTGGTGGTCTGAGTGCTTCTAGAAGTCCTTTGCTGCAGCTATAACCTCATTGAAATCCTGACCCTGCTCACTGGTAGTCATCCCCAGTGTGTCTTTCCATTCTTGCACCCCCGCTTGGGTGCCATAGTGGTAAAGAACCCACCTGCTAATGCAGAAGATGTAAGAGACATGGGTTTGATCCTTAGGTCGGAAAGATCGACTGGAGGAGGGCAGGGCAACCCACTCCAGTATTCTTGCCTAGGAAATCCCATGGACAGAGTAGCCTGGCAGGCTACAGTTCATGGGGTGGCCAAGAGTCAGACACAACTGAAGTGACTTAGCACACACACTCCCTCCCCAGGGAGGTGCATAATTCAGCAGTCGCAGTAGCAACAGGCTTCCCTGAATTCATATCCTAGCTGTACCATTTCCCGGTTGTGTGACTGCAGGGAAGTTTCTTCTGCTCCCTGAGCCTCAATTTCTTCACTTGTAAAATCACAGGGATGATTTCCACCTCATTGAGTTGTAGAGAGGGTTCAATTAGATAATGGGAAAGCACCTAGTGACCAGGGTTAGTTCTTGATAATCACAGAAGCAGGGTGCGGAGAGATGGCCCTGGCAGCCGAGCAGCCGGCCTTCGGGTTTCTCCAGACCTCTGCTTCTTGCTGTTATTATAGGTAATTTTTGTTTAATGGCTGTATCTCAGAAGTAGAGAGAGAGATTCAAGTTGACTTTTCACACACAGTTTTTACTCATTGTATTCAATATAGTGAATGATTTAAAACTTATTCTGTAGTATTTTATACAGATCAAAGTCCATTGCTATCAATTCCAGGGAACTGTCCAAATCATTTGGGGGGGGGGAGCGGTTTATTATGCTAAAGATTGTGTCTCTAAGTAACCTGTGAGAAGCCTGGATCTTAGTATTCTGTTATGCAGATATTTCACCAAAAACCACAGGCTATAGATACTGGATTTGTTGTTCTTGTAATTTAAAATTTTCTTCTTAATCAGTTTTCCATCCTAATGGAACCATTAGACCCTTGGAGTGAGATGTGCACCCTCTGTGTACTTTTGCATACATAAGAGGAAACAGAAGGCCTTTCTCTAGTTCACAGAAAGTCACAGGAATTTTCCTAGCTTTCTTGAGTTGAGGCTAAATCTCATCTAGTGTCTACTCTGAGAGTAGCAAATGGAAATGATGTTCTTGCTAATTCTGTGCAGTTGCAGGGTGTACGTGATTCATTAATGTCATACTTAGTCAAACGCTGTCTCAGAATCTTCTCAGTTGTCAGAGTTGTGCGTTTTACTTATCTTCTGAGTAGGGTAAGTCAACAGCGAATGTTTCCACTCTGTATTGAGTTACTCGCATCACCTGGAATTTTGTTTCTTGGGATTTCTCATTCCCATAAATAAACATAATATTCATTTTTACCTAAAAAAATTAATTTCAGAAATCTGTAGTCAACAGAGAGACAGACTAGTCCTGGAGTCCTTTGGCTAGTTACAGATAATTGTTCCTTGTACCACAGACTCTGTGTGTGTGTGTGTGTGTGTGTGTGTGTGTGCGCGCGCGCGCGCTTGTGCGCACGCTCAGTCACTTCAGTTGTATCTGACTCTTTATGACCCTGTGGATGGTAGCCCGCCAGACTCCTCTGTCCTTGGGATTTTCCAGGCAAGAATGCTGGAGTGGGTTGCGCATTTCCTCCTCCAGGGTTCTTCCTGACCCAAGTATCAAACGCGCATCTCCTGCACTGCAGACTGATTCTTTACCACTGAGCCACCAGGGAAGACCACAAACTCTAGACTGAGTCTCTCTGCTCTAAACTATTTGAGAATGATTTTCCAGACTGTTATTGTGAAATGTTTTGTTTCCATTTACAATCTCATTACAGTGGGGACTTGGATAATGAATAATCACAGCATTAAGGGATTGAAGGGTCTTTTTATATCCTGTTTGTCTTAAAGAAATGGTTTAAGGGGGTTATAGAAATATACACATTAAAATAAAATTCAAGTAAGAGAAACAAATTAGGACCAAAGAAGAGTAGGAAAAAAGATGAAATCAAGATTAAGGATGATATAAAAAATGCATGCTATAAGGTTCTGAATGATTTTCTTAATAATTCTATGCCAGTTAATTTAAGCTGAAAAGAGAATCTCCAGGAAAGTTCTGGAAACTGTTTCGAGATCAGCAGTGTGTCTTAGTGCTTGGATTGATGATTTTTTATTGTCCCTTCTTGTTTAGATGAATCGAATATCAGTGTTGACTGTGATTAGTTACACACTTTCTACCCATATTGGCCCACAGACTCCAGAACAGTATTTCAGCAAATGCTTAACTGCTTAACACCATTTAAAAATTGAGAGCTTAAATCATCTGGATTTCTGGCTTCAGTTGAAAAATTAGGATCTGATAAGACCAGGTGTGTGTTCCTTCATGTTAGAAACCAGCTGAGGCTGAGCAGTGGGAGCCCTTCCCACTGTGTGCAAAATCTCCAGTCCCTACTTGGTTCTCTGCACTCATTTACAAAACCTGTCTGGGCTGCCTAACCCCCAGGAGATTGCATCCCCTTCTCTCGATACCTACTTCACATGGCTCAGTGGTAAAGAATCTACCTGTAATGCAGGAGACGTGAGTTCTATCCCTTGGTTGGGAAGATCCCCTGGAGAAGGAAATGGCAACCCACTCCAGTATTCTTGCCTGGAAAACCCCATGGCCAGAGGAGCCTGGCAGGCTACAATCCATGGGGGTGCAAAAGAGACACGACTGAGTGACTTTTTCTCACTTCACTCACAAGAATGAGAAAACTAAATTCCAAAGAGGCTGCTCAAGGCAGCCAAGCCAGTGAGCTGCAGAACTAGTCCCTTTGGTTCTCTATAACACTGGCACATCACTTCAGTATTTAATGAACGACATATCTTTGCTTGGCTCAATTATGAATTGGGCATAATTAAGAGTATAAAAGTCTGTGTTTCAGTAACAGGTATAACCCATTTGTGTTGGTAAGACATTTATCTGTGCCAGTCAAAATTTGCTTATCTGTTCTTTTGTGATAGAATCATGAGTTATTTATCGTTAGTTGTTAGTTATGTGTAATGTGAACATGCTGCTGTAACAAAATGGATTAAAATATAGAAATGGAATCATAAAGTGAAGCATCTAGTTTCACCATCATTGATTCAGGCAGTTGGTGGGCAGACTTGGACAAGAGAAACCAAGTGTGTTGGGAATGTCTCCTAAGTTGCTTGAGCCCTAAGAGATGTATCCACTATACTCTTGTCCTTTCAGTGCTCTTGGCGGCTCCTCGGCTCTTCACATCCCAGCTTTTCCAGGAGGAGGCTGTCTCATTGATTATGTTCCCCAAGTGTGCCACCTGCTCACCAACAAGGTAAAAGCAAGTCCCCTGCCTCCCCAGCCTTGTAAGGCTCCTTCATCCAGTGTCATTTCCCCAGCATCATGGTGCAAGACACCATCCTCTCCACCCCATCTTAGTTTCAACCTCCATCTGACATGGCCTTTCCTGCTATGAATTAGATTTCATCAGTTTCTCTCCCACTTTGTTTGCCCTCCTTCCTTTTCTAAGGATTCTGACCTCCCTGTTCCAGTCTTATCTTCATCTTTTTTTTTAATTGGAGGATAATTGCTTAACAATATGTTGTTTTCTACCATACAAAAACTGGAATCAGCCATAAGTGTATGTATGTCCCCTCCTTCAAGAACCTCCCTCCTGGCTCCCCCGCTCACTCACTCCTCTGGGTTGTCATAGGCACTGGGTTAAGCTCCGTGTGTTATACAGCAGTTTCCCACTAGCTATCTGTTTACATGTGGTAATGCATGTGTTTCAATGCTACTCTCTCAGTTGGCCTCCCTCTCCTCTCACTGTGTCCACAAGTCTGTTCTCTATGTCTGTGTCTCTATTCCTGCCCTGCAAATAGGTGCCTCAGTACCATTTTTCTAGATTTCATATATATGCATTAATATGCAATACTTGCTTTTCTGACTTACTTTACTCTGTATAACAGGCTCTAGGTTCTTCTACTTTACTAGAACTGACTCAAATGTGATCCTTTTTATGGCTGAGTAATATTCCATTGTATATGTATACCACAACTTCTTTATCCATTCAGCTGTTGATGGACATCTAGGTTGCTTCCATGTCTTGGCTATTATAAATAGCAGTGAACATTGGGGTACATGTGTCTTTTTCAATTATGGTTTTCTCGGGGTATCTGCCCATTAGTGGGGATGCTGGATCATATGGTAATTTTATTCCTAGCTTTTTAAGGAATCTCCATACTGTTCTCCATGGTGGCAGTATCAATTTACATTCCCACCAACAGTGCAAAAAGGGTTCTCTTTTCTTTGTACCCTCTCCAGCATTTATTATTCGTGGATTTTTTTTTGATGATGGCCATTCTAACCGGTGTGAGGTGATACCTTATTGTAGTTTTGATTTGCATTTCTCTAATAATGAGTGATGTCGAGCATTTTTTAATGTGTTCATCGGCCATCTGTATGTCTTCTCTGGAGAACTGTCTGCTTAGGTTCTTCATCTTTTAAACTTTTATCTTCTCATTCTTGAATTTCCATTATGCCCTAAGTTTTTGCTTCTTCTTATGGTTTAAACCTTCTTATGGTTTAAAAATTTTGAACTCTTTCATTTCCCAATTATTATGTGTGTATGTGTTTGCCACTAGTTAATATCACAGTGATTCTGTCGAGCAGCTCTCATCTCTTTCTGCTTTTCTGTATAGCATGTTTTAATAGTTGGTTCCTGATTCTTCCTGTCATGCCCAGGAACAGTTTGCCAAAGTCCTGCTTGTTGGGACAGGATTTCCAGGTTAGCTTGGCTTATAGCCAGATTATAGCCAGATTATCTAAAGCTTTCCCTTAGCTGCGTTAGTGAGCCTTTACACTGGCAAGTAACTAAGCTTACACTATTGGGTCTTATCAGGTATTTCTGCAAGTATAGAATATACTTGTTAATGTCCAGCCAGTTTATTTAGCTAAAAACTGGAGCTATTAGTCCACAGACAATACTGACTTTCTTTCTTTTCCCACATGGACTTAGTTTGCTTAATTCCACAAATCCTATTTTCTTTGCTTCTGTTGACTTGTTCACAATGGCTTGGAAAATAAATCTTTTGTTTGTCTCTTTCATTCAAAAGATAGCTCATCTCTGTATAGAAAATACTTTAGAAATATAATAATATTTCAAAGTCTTCAGTATTATTTTTAAATGTCAAAGGAACTAAAATCTGGCAACTCTGCAGTCTGTGGGCTGGGCACAGATTCTAGGGCATTTAACTCTCACGGCGTGGTTGCTGTTCATTGGACCAGATTCCCCCAGCCCCTGCCCTCCCACAAAACTGATCCGAGGACAGCATTCTTACTTACAGTGTAGGTTTTACACTGCCTTCAAATCTGTGTCCCAGTATTATAGAGAAAAATCCAAATTTGGTCTTCCAGAACTGAGAAGAAAAGCCTTTTTAAAGCTCTCCAATTGAGATTAATTTCTAGTCATACATTCTCCTCAAAAAAAATTGTAATACCATTTTCCCAGAAATACAAGAATCAGTCAGTTTTTCTTATCTGGTTCCCTTTCATTAATTTCACTTGTGTTTCGAAATTGATGTTCTTCTGCTTGCTACAAATGAGGACAGTATGGGCTGCTTTTAGAAACAATCTCTTCAAATGAATTTCCATAATTGCATTGGAATCTATCTTTATAGCCAGTTTTGTTGTGGGTTTCTGTTAAAATGGTTTTCTGTTTTTAAAATCAAGTATACAGAACTGTTTTCATCCCCTTTTTAAACAAAGCCACTTAAGCAAACTTATCATCTGTTTTTCTTTCCCCAAAATAACATTTCTGATCCTGCCTTAAGCCTGCAAAGCAAGCACTGTTTTTATAAGTTGACATAAAACCCCTATTATATAAATAGAATTGTTTTACTTTTAAAGGGTACAAATGGCTATCAGTACCAATTGTGTCAAGGTTATTTCAAGCACTTTATCTTGAGCTTTTGTTATGCATGGAGACTCAGTGTGACAGCCAATATAAACTATTTGGGGGGTCTTTTTATCCCACTGTTTCTTTCAGCCATTATAAAGACATTTTATAAGGAATGTATTTCTGCCTTAGAAACTGATGGGTAAATGACTAACTTTCAGATGCCTAGCTTAATGAGTTCACGATTTTTTTAATAGAAACTGTCACTTGGTGTTAAGAAGGAAATATAAAAAGGCAAAATAAAATTGCCTGTTGTAACACTCCTTATTCTGAATGTTACAAACCTAAAAAGAAATAATTGAGCATTACTGTCCTTTTCAATAGGACTTGTAGTTCAAGATAACCAAATAGACCCATTTGATGAGAGGAAACTCTATATGGAGAATGCCAGCTGTTAAATGAGATAGAATGAGAAAATACAAACATACCATTTTTCAGGCCTCAGTTGAAGTAATTGATTCAGGCAAGGATACTAAAACAGATACTAAAACCACTAAGGAATTTGATCTTCCCATGCTTCGAGGAGTGTACCCCTGGATTACTCACTCTGGCAAAAGGGAACCATTCCCTTACAGTACTGTGATCTGGCTGACATCACCTTAACCAGTGATCAAACTCAGTATCACTTGGGAAGTTTTCTTGCCAAAAGTGTTTAACCTGGATCTAATCACACCTTTAGCTCTAACTTCCAATTCATAGGAAATACAGAAGGTAGAGAAAAAAGGAAGGAAACCATCGGAGAGTCTAGAATGCAGGATAAGACAGCCCAGTCTCTGAAAAGTCAGTATTAGGCTCACACACTCACATCCCAGGAGGTACTATTATTCTATAGTAAAAGACTTTCTAGATTAAATGCCTGACCCCTGTTTATATCCTTGCTTTTTTTCAAATGTATTTTGGGGACAGTTGGGAAGTTTGGAAAATTGTCAGGGTACTAAATAAATTCAGAGAATTAATTACTAAATTTTGTTGAGTGTGATCACAGTATTGTGATTGTGTAGGAAACTGTCTTGTTTTTCAGAGATGCATGCTGAAGTGTTCAGGGGCACACTGACATGATGTCTCTTAATTTCCTCTGAAACATTTCAGCAAGATTGATTGACAGGTTGATAGATAGGTAGATGGCTAGATAAAGCAACTAGACAAAATATTCACAGTTATTGAAGATAGGTGTGGGAATATGGGTGTTCATTTTACTATTCTTTCTACTTCTGTGAATCTTGGATATTTTACGTGATAAAGCATTTAATAATTCCCTACTGTACTCAGCTGTGGGTTTGTATTCCAGGTGCAGTATGTGATTCAAGGCTATCACAAAAGAAGAGAGTATATTGCTGCCTTCCTCAGCCACTTTGGCACGTAAGTTCTTCATTAAGACCTTAAATCAGTGATGCCCTCACATCCTGGTGACCCTAAGGGGAGGGCTCAATGAAGAAAATAGCACTTAGTTCTTCTATGTGATACCTTTCAGTGCTATTTTGGTTCTTCCTGGTGTGTTACTCACACTAACACTCCCAGAAAGACATTTTTTTCAGCATTGTTTGGCAAATAGAGTCAAATATCTTCCCTGGAGCAGCCACGTAACTAGCCCCAAACACCACAGTAAAAGTGGTTGTCACACCTGCTTCTTCTTGTGCTCTTTACAGTCTACACAGCACTTTCACCTCCGTCATCTCATAGTGGTCATGAGGTGAGCCAGGTGGGCATTCCTGGCACATTCCACGAAAGAAAGCCTATAAAACTTGACCAGTTCAGTCACCTGTGGAATTCTCAGAGAGAGCTGGGGCAGGAACCCTGTTCCTCAGAACTCAGGTCTCCTGACAGAACTCCCACTCCCCACAGGGCCACAGAGATTCGGGAAGGAAATCTGACTTTAGACCCCAGCGCCATGACTCACACTTGGGATTAGTATGTTGGAAGAAGGCCCTGCGAGGGAGGAGGGCAGTGTGTAGCTGCAGTTCCAGGGTAGGCGTCTCCTCTGGCCACCCACCCTGTACTCTGGCCCTTTCCTTCATGTGGCCCCTGCTGGCTGCTCTGCAGCTGTTTCCTTAATGGTGGCAGAGCCCTTATCAACCTCCCACTCAGGGCTTAGCTTGGGGGGTGGTGGGTGGTTGCATTTTCCTCACAGTCTCTCTCTTTTTTTTTTTCTGAGTCTCTTCTCATTTTTTATTTTTTAAAAAAGACAAATTTAGGATTTTGTAAGAAATTACTGTTACATTTTTTTTTAATTTGTCAAGTACTACAGTAATGGAATAAATAAATAAGATTTTTTTAAGTTCAATGTTTATAGACATATTTATAAAAAAATGACTGAATTAGAAGACATTAAATAATGCTGACAACACACCAGGAGGGCATTAGGCAAGGAAAGGCACATCATTCCACCACAAGAGATAAAGACCATAGTCAGAAGTTAATGACCAGCCAAAGCTTTAGGTCTTGTGGTAGTTTTCCTAGCTCTGGAGGGTCATTATGGTGGAACCTTCTTTATGGTACTTAGCTGAAATAAACAGCAACTGGAAAATTTTACTCGGTGACCTCAATGTATTATTTAAAAGAAAGCACTCTTGTAATAAGTCTGGTGTGTGAGGAGGGAAGGAACAAAAATCCAAAAAGGTTAGCTGATACTGGAAATCCTATTGACATATTAAAGATATTTTTAAAAAAGGTAAAATAAGGTTAATCGTCTTGACTGGCTGAACTGGAATTTTTGTAGTTAACAAAGTTAAAATTCCACGTAAACACTCCCTTTCTTTTAAACTGACAGTGTAGAGATAAAAAAACTGCAGTATTTCACTTCAGATGAAACTATATGCCAGTATTTAGGGAAAAAAATCTTAGATGATTTCCTTATTTTAGATAGCCTAAGTCCTTGAAGACAGCACTAATATCTCTGGCTGACTAGCTGGCTCAAGTAGCAAGGTGAATGTAAGTTTTGACAATGATAAGAAGTTTCCCAAAGAAACTATAAGTTCCAGTTAAACAGACAGTTACATTACTGAAAAGTCTAACAGACATCAGCAGAACTTGCTATGGGTCAACCTCCTACTACCAATTTTCCTCACAAATTTGTGCCAAGACTCTACCCGATTTCTTCTGTCTGGACTCTGAACCTAGATTAGTTTGACTAAAAGATGGAATCACCCAGGTTCCATTTAAATTTTAGTTGTGTTGAGAAACAACTGTCTGCTTGAATAAATAAAATGGGTTTTCAGGATAAAATGGTATATCCACACACAAAAAAAAGTTAAATTAAAAACAATTCGGGGGAGATAAGGGACAATATTAATATAAAAAAAAATCATAAAAATGGCAACTATAAAGCAGGCAGCTTCCCACTCATGCCACACGATACGCCTTCATCAAGGTGTACTCCTTCCGGTTGGTGTGAGCGGCCCAGATGAAGAGAGCGGAAGCCATGAACTGCAAGGGAGCTGAGACGCAAGCCAGGCAGAAGGACTATCCGAATTCCCCAGACACATTCTCGGGCGGCTCCAGCTTCTAGTGGAGGAGTTCAGTCCCGGCAACGTAACAGCTCACTGAGCCCAGGGTACACAGACCTGCAAGGAGATGGAGAACGCCTGTGGCGATGGTGGGGTACAAGCTTCGGCAGATACAAGCACAGAGTCCAATCAAAGCCCCAAAGCACATCAAACCTAGACTAACAAAAGGTAAAAGGAACTGGCAACACCAAAGATAGGTCCGAAGCAGATCAATCCCACTGTTGTGGTTTCCAGGCTCAACAAATTTCTCCATGAACTGATCATTTAGGGTGAAACTCATGCATTTTGTGACCATATCAAATGACTCTGTCCTTTCTGGTGGGCTATACCAATATGTGTTTTGGGGTATAGTGATACACCGTCTCCACAATCCCACTGTGCCATTATATTGGAAAAGTGCATCACTGTAAGTCTTTTCATCTGCCTCATCACTAGCAAAGTCATTCCAGATGCTTTTGTTCAAATTGCTGGAATTTTCTTGAACTGGACTTCGATACTTATACCAGAAGTCTGTGCCAATTGAGGCTGCCATGTAGATGGTAGAAATGAGGCTAAGTACACAAGCAATGACAAACGCTGTAGCAAAACGGTTATCCATTCTGGCATTCAGACTGCTCCAGGATGCTACGGAGACAGAAGTCTTGTTCTCTAGTCTATCACCGCCCATACTCCTGCTCCGCCAGCTTCACCCTCAAGCTCAAACCACAGCACCCTACTCTCCCCGCGCCTCCTCTGACGCACTTCCCCGCAGAGCCCGCCCCCTCCATAACTCCTTCGCCTCCGCCTCCGCCTCCACCCCAGGCCGGGCCAGGCCCCCCTCACAGTCTCTTTAAAAGGTGGAGCACACTCTGCCTAAGCACTAAGCATTTTAGTGCTCTCGTTACCTCCCACCTCATTCCAGAGAAGGCGGGTATATTAAAATTTTAAATCAGTAACTGAAGAAATTAAGATAAAAGGAATGAGAAGATGAAATCAAGAATAAGGTTGGGATATAATTTTACAAATGTGGCATAATTAAAAGAAAATTTCTGACTCCTCAAGACAATTTTAAGAAATGTTCTCATTATCCATTGTGGAATTTCTCATATCGCCAAAATAGAGTAACAATATCTAAACAGCATAACTGTTAATGAGTCATGAGTCTCTTAACACTTAAGGTATTTTTCAGCTTTCTTTATGAGCATTTTGAGAAAGTACTTATGATATGAACAGTGCTTAATAAATAACTCTGTTAGTCTTCTCATTTTTGAGTAAGATTATTTTTTGTGTATGTTACTGGAAATGAAGGTATTAGCTCAGTGACCTGCAAAGCAGGGTGCGTGTACCTCAGAGGCATGTGCCTCCCCTCACTTCATTGGTATTCAAGAAAAGGGTGAAAAATTGCATTTACACTTGTTAACAATTGTTTTTAAATCTCATTCTATGTGTGTACATTTTTGTGTTTTATTACACATATAATATAGTAGTAGTTGTCTACAACTACAAAATCATATACAAATACTACTATATACTGTACTGTATACATAATGACAAGGATTCTGTCAGTGCTTGTTTTTGCTTATGGGGTGCAGGGTCTAAAAAGTTTAGATATCAGTGTTGTAATATTGAGTAAATTACATATCCATAAAAGAAATACAAACTGATGAATAAAGTTGTTGACTTGTCAGCAGACTTTAATGATGTGTCAACAGTCTTTGAGCAAATCATTCAACCTTCGGTGCCTCAGTTCCTTTACCTTCACAGTGGGGTCAACTGTTGCTTCCTACTTAAACCTAGAGGCCATCAGTATTAATGGTCTCTTTAGCCTGACTCAGCCAGGGAGAACGCATTTCTAAGGACAGCAAAGGTCTCCTTGTATGGATGAGAGAGAAAGTTATACTTGTCCTCTCTGTGTGGTTAATATTGGTACATTATGGTGGTGTCACCCCCTGTACACTCAGCTCCAGAGGGAAATGGGGGAGAGGAGCCCATCAGAATTCAGTCTAGGCCCTTCTGTGTTCGGGGACTGTTCTCCTTTGACATAGGAGGGGTGCATCTCCCATCTGAACCCCACGTCCACCCTGCTAACGTTGCTACTTTGTCTTGAGCCCAGTGGGGAAGATCAGGGGACACAAGAGAAAGGATGCCAAGTACTTTGGAAGATAGTCATCTATAATCCTGAACTTAGTCATACTGTCATTGCTTGTGACTGTTCAGTACCTGAATGAAAGTGAGACTGGACAGTCACTGTATAGACCTGGGGTCTTTGCTGCCCTGACTTCTTCATTTGTCCTTTTGCTCATCACTGGTGACTAACATTTGCATAGTATTTTGTGGATTGTTATTGTTGTTCTGTCACTAAGTCATGTCCAACTCTCTGCAACCCCATGACCTGTAGCATGCCAGGCTTCCCTGTCCTTCACCATCTCCTGGAGTTTGCTCAAACTCATGTCCACTGAGTCAGTGATACCATCTAACCATTTTATGGGTGGCCTTACTTGTTTTTCACAACTCCGTGATGAAATTTGCACATGTGATTATATTTGTTTTACAGATAAGGAAACTGAGGCTCCAAAGGCTAAGTGATTTGCCAGAGGTCATAATAGATGGTAAAGCTGTAACTCAAACCTAGATGCTTTCATTCCAAATCCCACATCCTTCCTGTGGTAACACTCATTTGTCTTAAATGTATCTCGGATTCAATAACCTTGCTTTATGAATATATTCTTTACTTGGTTCCATCTCTTTGATACCTTGTTTTTATGAGAGTTTTTTGTCTGTGTGTGTTTTTATTACTTAGGGGTGTCGTGGAATATGATGCAGAAGGCTTTACAAAACTCACTCTGTTGCTGATGTGGAAAGATTTTTGTTTCCTTGTACACAGTGAGTATACTTTTGCTATTAGCATGTCAACATACATTTTAGAATGCACTAAACCACATGTAATAATGAATATAACAGCCTTTAGTGTCCTGACTTGGTTCGTTTTACTTTCGCATAAGTGTATTTACTGCATGATCTCAACCAGGTATAATTTGCTACTTGGGGGATGTTTGGTAATGTCCGGAAACATTTTTGTTTGTCATGATGGTTAGGGGATCAGGGGTGGCTTTGTTGTTACTGGCATCAGTGGGTAGAGGTCAGAGATGCTGTTAAACATCCTACAGTACATAGGACAGGTCCCTAAAGCAAAAAGTCATTGAGTCCACAGTGTCAGTAGTGCTGAATTTAAGAAACCCTATCCTAGAGAGGGATCTTTCCCAGTGGCGCTAGTGGTAAAGAACCCGCCTGTTAATGCAGGAGACGTTAAGAGAGGCAGGTTCGATCCCTGGGTCAGGAAGATCCCTTGGAGGAGGGCATGGCCACACACTCCAGTATTCTTGCCTGGAGAATGCCCTGAACCTGGTGGGCTACAGTCCATAGGGTTGCAAGAATCAGACACGACTGAAGCAACTTAGCATGCATGCATCCTAAAGAGATTTCTAAGTACCTTTCCAGATTCAGACCTCAAAACTTTCAAGATTACTCACAGTGTAGTGCCTTGATCATTTGGTTATCATTCTTACTTTTTAAGGCAGGGGTTCCCAACCTCCAATCCATGGACCAATCCCTCCTGTTAGATCAGTGGTGACATTAGATTAGAAATACAGCACACAATAAATGTAATGCACTTGAATCATCCCCAAACCATGTCCTCCCTGTCCCCAGTCCATGGAAAAATTGCCTTCTATGAAACTGGCCCCTGGTGCCAAAAAAGTTGGGGACTGCTGGCTTAAGGTATTTCCCAATAATAACTGCCTTGCCAGGCAATGCTTCATATGGAGCTCCTACTCTATATAACTAGTCTTACATGGGAGCATCATTTCAAATGCATCTGAAAAGTGCAAACATATTGTCTACATTAATTATATGCACAGAAAAGCAGAGTTGGAGAGGTGAAGGTTTTCATCTTGGGTTTGCCTCCAACTAATTATGTGACCTTGTTCAGATTGCTGAGACAAGCCTCCCCCTGCTTTAGTCTCCTCTTATGTCACTGGGGATCGGGTTTGTTAAGTCCTGTAGAGACATCAGCAGACGGAGCTTATCCTGCAATACAGGACCAGGTGGGAGAGGAAGTCCCAGTCAAGGCCTCCTGGCACTCTTCTCTTTGCTCACCATCTCTGTGGCCCTATCCAGCTGAGCTGTATACTAGTGCTTCCAGCTCTCACTTTTGATTCTGACCTTATGTATCACAGCTTTGGTTTTCTGTTCTGAGTGTTAATTCCTTTCTGAGATCTCACTTCCTATTTGCCATGTCCGCTTTGCCCCACCATCTTGATCCTGTGATTCTGTGATTCTGTTTCTAGCTTGGTAATCTGACCCCAGGTCCTGAGTGTATGCTTGGTTTGTCTTTCATGACCCTGGACAGCTGCCTGGGAGATTAGTCTGGTGTGTTTCCTCTAGGCCGGCTCAGCAAGAGGGGTCTGTAACCTGCCACGAATGGTGGTGGCTGTGGGCAGAGGCCTCTCAGAGGAGCTGTGAGAGAAGGACACAGAAGGAAGGACACATGAAGAGACATTTAGAAACAGTAAATTAGATGACTGCTTCAACCAGTTTTTTCATTCCAAAGTGTCATGAAATCTCAAGTCTTTCTGGAAACTTACTTTGGTCTCCTGGCCATGATTCCACTTTCAAAAAAGATGTTGTTCAGTTGCTAAGTTGTATGTATCCAGCTCTTTGCAACCCAGGCTTCCCTGTCCTTCACAATCTCCCAAAGTTTGCCCAGACTCATGTCCACTGAGTCTTTGATGCCATCCAAGCGTCTTATCCTCTGTTGCCTCCTTCTCCACCTGCCTTCATTCTTTCCCAGCATCAGTCTTTTCCAGTAAGTCAGCTCTTCCCATCAGGTGACCAAAGTATTAGAGCTTTAGCTTCAGCATCAGTCCTTTCAATGAATATTCAGGGTTGATTTCCTTTAGGATTGACTGATTTGATCTCCTTGTAGTCCAAGGGACACTGAAGAGTCTTCTCCAGCACCAAAGTTTGAAAGTATAAATTCTTTGGCACTCAGCCTTCTTTATGGTCCAACTTTCACATCTGTACATGACTACTGGAAAAAGCATAGCTTTAACTATACAGACTTGTCAACAAAGTGATGTCTCTGCTTTTTAACACGCTATCTAGGTTTGTCATAGCTTTTCTTCCAAGGAGCATCATCAAAAAAGATGATGTCAGGTCATATCAGATACATGGAAAAAATAAACCCTTGGCACTGATCTTTCTCACTGTTTTTTCCTCATGGGACTCAAGGATGGCTGCTATGGTGGTGCTGGCAGGAGAGGTGTTCAGAGATAAAAGAGCGTCCACCTCTCAGTTCCTGTTAGCTGTCTTCTCAGTGTGCTCACTGTTAAGCAATTCTTGTTCCTTAGGAAGGTCTGTTCCCCAAAGAATATTTTCTGCATGGTTCAGTGTCCAGTTTCTTACAGCTCCTTCTCTACCTTCCTTTGTCAGATGTGCAGAATTAAGTCCCAGAGTCATATTTTCAAAGTTACAGTTTCATTCAGTTTTGATTACTTCTTCAGGAACATAGAACCCCCAGACACTCATTAGAGCAGGTACAGGGACCTCGAGGTTTGTTTAATTAACTCTTTCCAAAGTGTTTCCTCAGGCTGTTACTCCTTTCTTTCCCAGCCCATTTGCTCCCTGCTCTTAGCATCATGGCCACATTCTTGGCTCTTTGGCAGATAAGATCTTATGCAGAAAAGGGACAGAATCAAGGGACTTTGATGCTATTTACTACTCCATCATTAACTCACAACCTGTCTTTAAATAAATTATTTCCACCCTTTTTCTTCTTATATCTAAAATGTAGGACTTGCTACATCATCAGAGTGAAACTTGGTTGTTCAGTCGCTAAGTCCTGTCCTACTCTTTGTGACCCTATGGACTGCAGCACACCAAGCTTGATTAGGTAACGCATTTTATTCAGTCATACTGTTAAGCATCTGAATCTTACCTTCTTTGGGAAACACCTGCTTGCTAGGTTATAACCCACAAGGGACCACTTGTTGCTTTTGTTCTTGCTGTGAAGATGGGAGTTGAATATGGAGTGGCAGAGACTTAATGATAGAACATTGCAGTGAATTATTCTGAGACCCCAAGAACATGAAAAGAAAGAAGTGCCTAGAGATGGAGCCAGTTTTCTGTGGCTGGCTCACTACTCCATGGAGATTGAAGAGCTGGCAGGACACGAAATAATGTCTCTGATCTCCCCCACCCTCTCTTCTGCCCAGGCCTGAGAAGAAGACTTTTGAGAGGATAGGTGCTGGCAGTAATTCTGAGCCTTTTGATGCTACAGGAAAGAGGCACTGTTCTCTTGAGGCCAGTGGCTCTGACCTCAGCCTTTGCCAGAGTGCGGAAGCAAAAATGCTCTAGGGGAAAACATTGTACACACTCTGGGATCTCTCAGGAGACACTGCAACTTCCTGGCATTCTGGTGGTTCCAGGAGTGGGAGCTGTGGCCATGATTATGGCCAGGGAGTATTTTTATCCATTTATTCCTTCTTTCCTTCCTTCATCTAGATCAGTATATCACAAGATTTGGAACCACAGCAAGAGCAAGTACTTGCTCTCATTCAGAAACTGTTTTCAGAATGGTTTCCTGGTGAACATCTAAAAATTATCTGTAGTGGTTAAATAAGTAATTCTGTATTTGTCAAGTTGTTTGTACCTCTGGAGGTAGATGCTGCCTTTAAACCAGCAGCTTTTCAGAATGCTGGGTGACAAGGGAACCAGAGACCGAGGCATAGTAATGCAGAACCACTGGGGAAAATTGACTCTTTCATGGGCCCCTGTTAGCCACACTGGACCGAGGGCAGCTGCCTAAGGTCACAGGGTTGCTGCTTGGAAGCGGAGGGTATTAAGATTGTAACAGAATGAGAAGCTGTCTTTTCCCATTACCTGTAATCCCTGTAAATGACCCTTTGAATCATTCAGCTTGGACCACAGGCCTTCTTTCCTCGGCAAAATACCTGTTAGACCAAATCTGACTGTTTGAGGTGTTGGATTTCGTTTCTTCTCTATGCCCAACCCAATTAGGTTAGCCCAGTGCAGCTGAGTTCTGCGTCTGTGGAGAACCTGCTGTGTGCAACGTCCCAGAGGATATAAGTAAATAACTCAGGCTTGACCTTAAGACAGTTGGAGTCTACACAAGGGTTGACTGCCTACAGCCTATGGGCTAAACTCCACCCTCAGTCTATTTTTATATGGCCCTCGAGCTGAGAATGCTTTTTATGTTTTTAAAGGGTTGTTGAGGAGGGATGAGAAGAATATGCAACAAAAATGATAAAGTCTCGAATATTTACCCTTTGACTGTTTACAAACTTTGCCAACCCCTGACCTAGTTAATGAGACGAGATAAAGGTGAAGTACACTGAAGTACACTGATATGCATTTTTTAAAAGCAAATATTTTGTGAGCTTGCTTACTGTATACAAGGCACAAAGTGATATGTAGCCCAGAGAAAACTTCATGTGTTTTATAGATGAGAGAATTAGAAAGACACCCTCCCCAATGGAGTCTAATGAGAGAAAGAGACAATAAAGAAGTAAACTAACAAATATATGTTACAAATGATGATAAATACCATAATGAAGCAAAACAGAGGGCTTTGAAAGAGCCTAAAAGGGGAGCTGTTGTTAGGATGGTCAGGGAAGTCTTCTCATAGGAGGTGACAATTCAACCAAGACCTTGATAAGCAGTTACTCAGATTCAGGGAGATTTCAGGGGCGGGGAATGTCCTTCCACAAAGAGCTACAAAAGGCAGTAAAGAGTTCTGCATGCACCCAAGTGGCTGGAGCACAGTGAGCAAGGAGAAAGTCATACAAGAGAGGTTAGAAAGAGAA